CTTTCCTTCAGAAGATTGGGACCGGAAAAAGCAAAATTTTTGGAGTGAAAACTGAAACTTGACTCAAATTTAATGTAAAATTATACCAGACCGACCGCTTTGGACCGACGTGGTTTTGGTATCGTTATTTTTGGAATTATTCATAAACATTTTCCTCGTTTTTCTGCTCTGTCGAAAGAAGTTACCTATGCCCTTTTCACGTAACTGTCTCATTAAAATAAAATATTACATTTAGAACAAGCATCGAAAACACGTAACAAGAGGTCCCAGTTAAGTTGCTTTGACCAGGGACGTACTAGTACGTCCATGCTTTGACGATTGAGTGTCATGCAACTATTAGATTTGAAAAACCACCATTTCGACTACTCATGTGTGATCAGTGTTTTGGCGAGCAGTCAATGTTTTCAATGAGCGAGCGAAAAAAAGAGCGATTAAAATGCTGTCGGTTTCCGGTCGGACAAGACCGCGCGATCGAAAATCAAGCAATAAGCTGTGGGTGTAAAAGCGGAAGGCTGGGCGAAATTAGTACCGTAATTACATAAACTTTGTAGTATTGATATGCAAATCGGATTTTTCATCAAGTGTCAATTAGGATTACTTTCATGCGAGTGTTGTGCTTATGTTGGTGGTGTTTATAAACAATCACACGTGGCAATGTTTTGAAATAGAAAAAACGTCGAAATATGCCTTATAAAATGGAGTTTTTGTTTAGACTAAAAGCACAGTCATAGATACTGTCATAACCATCAATAATTTAAAATGAAAAAAAATTTTGAAAAAAAACACATTAAACGTATGCTAACCCCTTAATGACAATGAGGTCCACCATTAATCCCACTTTGGACAGTCTAAAAATAGCGAATTTACGGATTGTGTAGTTTTGGGTTGCATATTATTATTACAGCTATTTTAAGTCACTTGCTTTGCTTCCAGTTTTCTCTGATTTCAAACACAATTAATGTGTCTTCTGGTAATTGCTGTTAGTTTGTTTCATTGAACACCTTCATTACTTTTCACCAACTCTCAGTAAATTTCTTAATTTATATACCCAAATTACCTTTTTTCAGTGACCCCAACCCTTTTACCACCCATTCTCTCTTTTCATCACAAATTCACAAAAAAAAGTCCTGTTTATAGTCTGCACTTTCCTTCAGAAGATTGGGAGCGGAAAAAGCAAAATTTTTGGACTAAAAACTGAAACTTGACTCAAATTTTGTCTGTTGGCATCAAAATTAGGGATCATTTCCCAAAATATTGAAGAATATGAGAAAAAAGTGCAGAACGTTTTGGGCAAGAATGTCTGGTGGTGAAAAGGCTAAACTGATGTAGGGAAATTCAATAATGAATAGACTCATTGTGGAATGTTATAAATATATATCATAAACATTATTGTGTGTGACCTTGTAGATAAGTCTGTCTAGTCTGTTAAATTCTGTAGCTCGAGCGGCAATTTTAGATTTTGTGATGTGGAAAGTCACTATATGATATATGTATCAATAGTGAGAATTTAGTTCAGTGAATTTAAATCTTTTGACGCTAACATTTTCTTCAATAAATATTTTGTGCAACATTTTGCACATTTTAATGATTTTTCTACAACTTTCAAGATCTAATTTCTTGGTCTTGATTAACATTTATTCTGGTTAATTTTTGTGAAATTGGTATAAACTTGTATTTCAGTTTTCCCTCAGCAATGATTGAGATAGACGTAGATTTGTCAACCAATCTTTTGAATCAGACTGTGAAGCTGATATGTCATCTTGGTGTAGTTTCCTTGCATTTATACAATTTAATAACAGATGCGATTTTTATTTTGATATAAATTATTTTTTAAAAACAAGACAAAAAGTGCATGAAAATTTAATAATTATGGTGGCTTTCATGCACCTATGATAATTTTATACTAAACCTTCTCACAAGTCATATATTCATAATTTTATGTGCTTGCTAGATGCACATAACTTTAAAAAAATGTTGCGTAATTCATTAAAATTCATGCCATAGAAGATCAGTATCCAATAATGATGACCGACAGCCAATAACATGCTGCGTATTACCCGGTAGAATAAACACCATTCCCAAATTCCTACCATATCCTTATTCATGATTGGTTGAAATCATCACTTTGATTGTTTGAATTCATTACATTAAAATCAGCATTACATGTAATACTGTCATGAATGTGATTTCAGGTTATCCGTAAAGGCTGGTTAACGATACAGAATATCAGTTTTATCAAAGGTGGCTCCAAAGATTACTGGTTCACGCTCACTGCTGAGAATTTTTCATGGTTCAAAGATGAAGAGGTAAGCAAAGGCTTTGAATAAAAACCACAGACTCAAATGCCTTTAGAGATGTCATTGACAGTAAAAAACCACCAAAACTTGTAATTGCCCTTTAAATTGTGTTTCATCCCATACTTTTATCACTATTGGGGGGAGGGGCAAGTCTTGTGACCTTCAAAAAGATATCGCAGCCATTTTGCCCAAGATCAGTTTCTTATAGGAAGATCACGATCAGTTTTTAGGGGAAGTTGCTTATGAAAAATGTTAATTTTTTTTTTATTTGTGCTGCAGGTGTGTGTCTATGGATGAATTAAGTAGTATTTTGATAATGTAATGTATAATAAATGCGATTTTTTTTCACATGCGTCTCTTTTATTGATGGGCTTCTAATAAGGGGAATACTGTTACAGTGTTTCTTCAGAATCTTGAAATATTGGATACCATTACCGTATTTGTTCTGTTCTGAGCGTCAGAGCTAAGTCTCTGGTCAAAATATGACTTATTGCAATGTTCTAGCATTTAATATAGTTTTTGCTTTATGCAGTATTTATTGTTGTTACAATAATTTGGTTTCAATGGAACTTTGATCATTCCATACAAGGTAGGTAATTATTCACATTTCTGTATTACAGGAAAAAGACAAGAAGTACATGTTGATGTTGGATGGTCTCAAACTCAGGGATTTGGAATCAGGTTTCATGTCTAAGAAACACATGTTTGCATTATTCAATCCTGATCAAAGGTAAAAACTGACATTCTGGTCTTAGCAGTGTCTCCTTCAGTGTAATCAGACATACCAGTACTTTGTAAGATTATCTGGATGCAGTTACAATTGCTGAACACCACAAAGTGCATCCCCGTCTTCTATTTTTTTTTTAAGTATATACACATGTATTTGGCATTATTGTAAATTTTTTCCATCATTTTGTTAATAGTTGTTAAGAAACCTAAATTTCCCAAATGTTGCTTAGCTGTTTGTATTTAAAACTTGTGACTAAAGTTGGTGATATTGTCATATTCTTGTAATATCACTTACTGATATGGTTTCTTAGGTTACATCGAAACTCTCTCTCTTCAGTTGTTGTCAATTCCATTTGCTTATAATAATCCAGATGAAAAAATCCTAAATTTGTTTTGATTTGAATTCAGGAATGTGTACAAAGACTATAAACAGTTGGAATTGTCGGCAGATTCTGCTGAGACAGTGGACAGTTGGAAAACATCCTTCCTACGAGCCGGAGTGTATCCGGAGAGACCACAAGATGAAGATGGCAGAAATGAGGATGAGGTAAGACTTACATGTCATTGATACAATCTATGCATGTTTGAATTTATCATTAACACTTCCAATAGTTGTGTTCACGTTACGCGAAGTACGGGCTAAGATTTAAGCTGATTTAGGCTTATCTAGCATATTTGCATTTTGGCTAGACCCAATTGCGTCCACGCACAGGGAGGGTCAGTCGTTAGCACGGGCTAAGGGGTGCCATTAGTCGGTGACCTTTGGTAAGCCGTTATTTACGAACGAAAAATGGATGACACGCGCGAGGCTCTGTTTCTGCTGCTGGCATGTTTCGTTCTAAATTTGAAGCGACGTGCACAGGAATGCGAGAGAAGACGGACCCAACTTATTTGGATGCACATAAACAGTATACAACGGTCGTAACAGAATACAGAGTTTTATTAATGCATGTCGTAAATAGCGAACCAAATTTATGTTGTCTACGATTGGAGCTGCTGTACGCTCTACTACTACAGTGACCCGATTAGTGTGGAAGCGAGCGCGGAGTAATGACTGGTGGAATAGTGTCGTTATACGAACATGGGACAATTTTCACACCCAAAGGTCGCCACAGAGGGCGCTTAGCCCTGGGCTAAGCATTCGCGCATACTTCGTTAGCCTGTGCTAAGGTCTAGACCGCATCTTAAATTTGGATCAGATTTAACCCGTACTTAGTATTCCTTAGCCTGTGCTAAGCGTTCACGCACGTTTTCTTAGCACGGGCTAAGGAATTTGACCTCTTAGCCCGTGCTAAGGAGCTGTGCGTGAACGCAACTAATATCACAAACTTAAGGTAACATAACTTTTGTAAATAACAGATTACAAGATATAAAGACTATTACTGGTTTCCAAGTCTATGTGAAGCACTTATATTAACACTATATCTGTAATTATATTGTAGGTGATTTTTCATTTACTGTGAGATTTCGCGTAATGAGTGAAAGACATGCCTGCCGCAAAAATAAAATGATTTAATTTTGAACTTGAATTTCTCTTTTCTGTAGTTCGTGATTCCCTTCCTTCAGTGAGGAATATAGCATTGAGATACCCTTACTTCATCAAAATTGACCATTATCAAAACCTATAACAAAATATTCACATTTGTTGACTCCCACATGATGTTTCCATACCACCATGGTGACATAATCTTTGTTTGTTCCTCTTTTACGTTCGATTTCATGCATGACGTGGATTTCACATTGAACGAAAAATGGTCTTTTGGGAAGGAAAATTAGAAGTGACAAATTCAGTGAAGTATGTTTCTCAGTTTTGGTCATAAAAAATTGAGGAGACTTGGATTGGATAGATTATCCTATTACTGGATCATTAGTTTATCCTTTGGTACGAAGTTGTTCTGGCCTTTGAAGGGAGGCTACCAATATCTGGATTTGCACCATGGAATGTTGGGAAACTATTGCTTGCCTCGCACAAAATCAATC